CCTTGCATCTTTCTTGGTTATGGATAAGATGAGTTCGACTACAAACTATGAGATCCAGAAAAGAGACAAATTATCAGATGATCGGTGTTTGTTGGAAATTTGATGTAAAAGTCAATGAAAGAAAAAATTTCGAACTTGAATATTTCTCTCAAACTTCAGTTAACAATTTGGATTCCGTATTACAAAAGAGAGGAAAAACGAATTTGGTTTTCCCCTTTGTTAAAACCGGGTTCTTCTTGGTACGATGGAGTGCCTCCTTCGATTGATCTCGTCGAACTTGCTCTCCGTTTGACGATCCGACCGTCCTTCTTCACTGGAACAATTGAAGCGTTTGATGACTTCGGTTTAGAACTCTTGACGAGTGTAAAGAACTCTGAATGAGTTAAGAACTCTGACAAGAGTTGTTGAACCGCTCTATCATCAAGCTTCTATCTCTTCTCCTTCGGAATGTGTGCAAATATCTTGCAACCAAACACCTTCAAATGAGAATAGAAAACATCTTTTCCAAACCAAACTTTCTTTGGAATATCAAACCCCAAAGGAACTGAAGGAGACCTGTTGATTATATAGCATGCAGTGCGAATAGCTTCATCCCAGAAGCTCTTAGGTAACTTCGTCATCTTCAACATGCATCTTACTTTCTTCATAATGGTCCTGTTATACCTTTCTGCAACTCCATTATGTTGCAATGTGTCAGACTCTATCCTCTGATGCCGAATACCATTCTTGGATAAATAATCTCTAAACTGAATGGAAGTGTACCCTTCTCCATTATTGGTGCGCAAACACTTCAACTTCTTTCCTGTTTGTCTCTCCACCATGGCATAAAACTACTGAAAGACTAAAAATATGTGATCTTGTGTCATTAATAAGAAGACCCACATCCTTCGTGATGCATTATCAATAAATGTGATAACATACTTATTGCCACCCAAGGACTCCACCTTAATAGGACCACAAACATGAGAATAAATTAAATCTAAGATATTATCTTTTCTTTTAGAAGGTTTACTAAAAAAACTCTATGTTGTTTGCCAAACAAATAATAATCACAAGGGGTGAGTGACAAACCTTTGACAAAA